CATGTACATGAATAGTGATTGTTCTGTTTCTACCTGCCCAAGGACTGCAGATGGAAATTGACTAATAGCTAAATCTGACATAAACAGGTCTTCTCATTTTGAGATTAATGTTTTTTGTGCATGGTCCTTGTTTAATAAAGGAAAAAAAATAAATAATGTACAAAACAAATGGACTATTTATGCCAGTCTTATGACTTAGATTCTTGAAATTCATTTTATTACACGATTTCAATGATTTATTAGACTGTTGAACTGTCCCACTGCTTTGAAGGTAGGGAGACACCATCATTTTAGGGTTTCAGTTGCATTTTATTCTTTTGTGTATTGCCCCTGGATTATTTTTTGAGCGGGTTTTCTGTTTGGAATTCGACTTTGGAATTTCAAATTTAAACTTGTTGACAAATGTATTAAATAATAAGTCTGTAGTATGAGTAGTAAGTGGGCTGCGCTCTTGCGGACATGTTGCTTCAGGTACTCGTCAAACAATCAAATTCCGATTTGATGAGAGTTCGAGGGTTTAGCAGATGGCAAAACACCAGTTTATCTTTCTTCCCAACCATTGGCAGGTGAACAGAAGAAATACTATGTTCACGTTACAAAGTAATCTACCTGGAATGTGCACTGGCCCGTTGATTAGCAAATGTAGCATCTTGTTGGATTACGATGCATCTGTGTGACATGCGCGCTGTGCCAACAGAGTGACTTTATTCAAATAACACAGGGACAGTGTTTTTGACCCATAATGCATGGTGCAATAATAACGCATGGCTCAGGCAGTGGCAAATCATTTTTCACCACCAAAGAAATCAAATCAAACCATCAGCAATTATCTGGAAACAAGATAAGGGCTGCTAATAATTCCAACTCTTTTAAAGAGCTGTAAAAAAAAAAAAAAAAAAAACTGGTTCGTGTTTGAGGAGCTTTTGATTACAAGGTACATTTAAATTTTAAAATGATGGAAAGTGGTTGGTCACAGCAAGTGATCAGCACTGTGAGTGAAGGGACGGCTCCACACTGAAACAGAGGTCGACATTTTTTGTGCCTCCATGAAAGCAATTCTAACTATAACTATTCATCATTTAAACATTTTGGCACCCTTTAAATAAAACACCCTGCCGTGAGATAACTCACTGCAAAGAGCAAAGTTTTGAATATTCCACCGTATCACAGTGGTAATGATGTTTGACACATCATAGTGGGTATGAAGTGTCAAACATCATTACAACAAAGCAATCAGAGACGCAGCCAGGAGAATGTCATCTCTCAACGGCTGACAGATGGTGAGCGGAGTGAGCTGTGAAATCATTTGTCTGATTGTCTGACAGCCAGGAGCAGGACTCAGCAACAATAACAACAAGCCCTGTGGTCAAATCTCCATTGCTTGTTAATAATCCTTCATATTACTGACTCTGTCTCCTGTGCTCACGGTGCACATCACCCTGCCTGCTATGACTTTTCAAACAACGTGAGAAAAAGTTTTCTCCAGAAAAGAAAAAGGAATCTGAGATTGAGTTTGATGTGTGAAGAGAAACCATTACATTACACTGCAAACATGATGAATAACTCCATTATAATACTAAGTCTCCCCTTTAGTTAGTTTCCTTTCTGTTCTCGTACAGTTCCTAAAAACTCTTCTCAAAATTCTTTGTAATTTTCTAAACATTGTGTCCTTAATCCTTACTTAATTTTTAACCTGCATGATAAGCGTTGCTAGCATATTTTATCCTAACTAGTTTGCTAATACTCATTAGCTCTTTTAAACTGTCTGGCTAACTCTTTTTGAAACAAGAACCCTGTAGAAGAGTCTTAAATATTCACTTGATGACTACGTACACCATATCGTGCGAAAAGGCTGAGGCTGAAGCTGCATTTCCAAATAGATATTCAGCCACTTGATGATCCATCAACAAGCAGCATTGTTTTTGTACAGCAGGCTAGAGCTAGTCAGACCTGCATAGCATACACGAATGTACAGTATAATTGGGTGTATTTAAGATCAGCTGTTTTGTTCTGACATAGCCCCTCTTTAGAGCATACCAAAAAATAAACTGGGACAAGTAACACAGAAACTATCATAGTTATGAGATTCCTGTTTTTTTGTTCAGATTTTCAAACTATATTCACTAGTAGTGTTAAAAGCGAAAAACCTTTAAAAGGACGATCATGTCTGTATATATAAAAATACTCATTCTAAGGTAACGGTTCCTATTTTCAGGTGATATATACAGGTGGTATACACTAATAAAACATACCTATCAATATTACATTCCATTTCTGCCAATAGATCGTCCTAAATGTGACACTGGACCTTTAACGTCAATAAAACACAGAAGATGTCCCTGAGAGTTTTTTTAGTAGTCCATCAGAGCAGACAAACACACAGTTTTTAAACTTGTGTTTTTGTTTTTGGAAAGGTTTTTAAAAACTCCTCCAAATGCTTTAATTTCAAGTATGTCTCTTACTAGACGCCATACACACTGCTTCAACATGAGAGCAGAGCCAAAGCTTGACATACCTTCCTTTAAGGTTGCTAAGCAATGATTGGACCATTGCTACTCAGGAGAGGGGTTCAGCGAATGATCAATTGAGAGCCTTGCAATTATTTTTCAATACACCAGCTTGTACATTTAAGGGTCATTTTGGATTGACTTTCCCCATATTATCTCACTGTAACCAGTTAGTGTGAATCAATCCTATGTCTGACATAAATAGGAAAAAGAAGTCACAACAGCGTGTCATTAATTACAGTCAGCGTCATGTGTGCTCACTTCTACTTTGTTAAAAAAAAGATAAATTGAGAAAAAGTAATTTTCAAAGAGGATTTGAGCAACATCACGTCCTTCTCTCTCGCACATATTTGTTCAGGCAGAGCAGAAGGCTGGGTTTGTGATAATCCCTCAGCTCTTCAGTTTGTGGGTGGTAAGCAGGAGGTAAGTCTAGCGATTATAGTGCTTTTCAGCATGGAGAGTAAGAGCTTTGGGCCAAAAAAACAACAGTCAGAAATGTGGAAAGCCGGCACCCACCCACGTCTGGGCAGAGAGCGGCCCTCAAGAGGCACAGTGGTCAACAGTGCATGGGGCTTACCTGTCAAGAGTCTCATTGTGTCGAGAATGCAGTGGAGAGGAAACTAAGAGAAGCCAAAGAGGCCAAACAGCCAGAGAGGAAGAGAAAAATGGGTCTTTTGACAAGTGCTAGTGTTTTACTGAAAATGTAAGGATCAAAATCAAAGCCCCATGCTCAATCAGTTTACAAAGTGTCTCTTGAGGAAATTGGTCAGTCGAGGACTCTGGTTTAAAGTACATCCATGCAGAATATGCACTCGTCTTTCCTCCCTTTTGTTGTCTTCCTAGTTCTCTAATTACTTATTTTTCTCTCAAAATAGTACCTATTGTGCACCAGCAAACATGGTTTCCCATCGATTCACATCACACTACTACTTCAATTTGATGTCAGCAGCCTCTCTAGGAGACAATTTCAGTATGTTTTCTCACCTGTTTACAAGTATGTCTTTTTAAATCAATTTGTTCCACTACACACCATCATGACCCACAGCTCAGACCAGCGAATCAACTTCTTCCGGGCCCTGGATCACACTGGCATGGCTTTATTATTCCTTCTGAGATGCATAAATAGCAGTGGTCCAATCTCCCTACCTCTGTCTACATGTCACAGCAGCCATTTACCGGTGTAATCAAATTATCGAAAGCCTGACTGAAGTGGAGAACAACAGGAGTTAAAAATGGGAAACAAAGAAAAGGAAAGACTTAACACTGTCTGAAAATGTAGTGTCGTTTCAGTAATCTCCTGGATGTGTAACATGATCACCATATCAACTTAAAAAGTGATGTAAGTGTTTACGTCTTGTTTCCAGCTGCCCTCAAACGACCAAAATAATGAGTTAATCCAGGTTTAACATTAGTGTGCAGTAAATTTTGCGTACTTACTGGTGTAGTCCCTGTAAATGTAGATGTAACTTTTGCATTTATCAAATACAATGCATTGTGTGGTGGGATTGTTGGCAAAAAAACATTAAATTTACTGAGTATATAATTAGTGGACAGAGCTTCTGGGTCTGTGAAGTGAAGCTAATGAGGAAGTGTCTTAAAAAAAGTGTCTTCAGTCCAAATAGTATTGAGTCTTATGGAAAAATAATTCTACTTCTCTCTCGATTTCTTACCTCATTAAACTGTTTTCTAATGGGTTTATAGTCTCAATAGCTAGTGTCAGGTCTTCCTTCATGCAGCATGATGTTCATTTAATAAATGATGGTCCCATTTAGAGTAAAATCGATAATAAAGTAAGGTACGCTTTAGGATGTGGCTATCAAGTGGTACCATGTGAGTCCATCCAGCACACAAAACTGTGATCAAACAGTCAAACTAGGCAGTGCTGATCAAATATAATAGAGCCGGTAATTATGTTTCCATTTAAATTGTATAATTTTAAGTGAATTTCTGAAACTTTGGCAAAGTTAAGTCTTTTTTTCTCTTAACTACCTTTAAAGAAACTAATTTGTCATGAAGTTCTTACATATAAGAGGATGTAACAATATTACTTTATTAATTGAGGACCAGTAGCTTTGATGCTTTAATACTGTACTTGATGGCAATTAATTGCCTCCTCTAAACCATGTGGACTGTGTTTTTTATGAGCCACTATTTGAAATGGGGGCCGCTCTTTTTATTCTTTATTTTGGGAACTTTGTGATCAATGGTAGGCAGCATATAATGAAAGCTTTGTCTGCAGAAGCAGAAACAGGCCCCACAATGTCATGGTGTATTCAAAAAACTCTATCCTCTCTTTATTGATATTCCAGCCTTTCTGCCTCAACAAAAGTGCAGTCCTTTTTGCAATATTTTTTTCTGGCATTTCAATTCAGGTTTTTTTCGTGCACAAATTGAAAAGGAGCTTTATAACAAGTGGATAGTAACACCTAATGTACACTTGGATATCTGTCTATTTCAACACTTTGTCTAACTTCCTATCTGTCTTATCTCTAGGTACGGAGACATGGTGCCAAAGACTATTGCCGGTAAGATCTTCGGCTCCATTTGCTCCCTGAGCGGTGTGCTGGTGATCGCCCTGCCTGTCCCTGTTATCGTCTCAAACTTCAGCCGCATCTACCACCAGAACCAGAGAGCAGACAAACGCCGTGCTCAGAAGGTAAAATTCAGTGTCTTTAGCCTTTCCATCTGCTCCAACAGGGAGAGTCGAGGGTTAGGTGTGAGTTAAACGAGTGTTTGTGCTGGAGCGTGTGTACATACATATTACCTGACCATTAGGAGTGCACGCTCTTGATTTTTTTTTAAAAGGCCAAAGTACCACAGGATTATTAGATATTATTAAATTAATTAGAGTGAATGGGAGGTTCAAGTGTAGAGTAAAAACACTGTGTGGGTGGATACTAAAGGTTATTCCTGAAAAACCTTTTGAAGGTCTTTCTTTTTTATATGCAGATGATTAAAATAATGACGCAGGGTTAAAAGATCCCGATGACAGATTAGTGTTTTTATGAAAAGAACAGAGGACACATTTTACAAACTTAAAAAAAAGGGTGATGGTAAAAAAGATTGACCCCAATCAAGGATTCGGTGTCTGCATTGCAAATCACTGTCCTTCAACCTACATCATCCCTCATTTTTCAACACCATCTCACACACACGCAGGAAATTTGTCGCCCTTCAGACCCACATTGTTCAATGTCTTTCCACATATGTGCACACACCTTTCTCCCTCTTTCTAACACACACACTTAAAATCCAACTACCAAATGTTAGCTATCCACTTACTACGCTCACCCAGTGGGCTCGACCTTTCTACAGATTTAGATAAGTGCTATTAAGTTTGAGAGCAGCTGCCGATATCTAATTGAGGAGGGACGACTAAAATTGAATTTTGGGCAGTAAGCAATGAAAAAAGGGTGGATTAATGAATGAATGATTTTGCAAAGTAGTGAACTCTGACTTATTCTGCTGGTTTGGGCATCAAACATGTCACAAGTTCAGAGTCCAGTGTCTTTAACACTTTATGGAACTGCTGCAGTCTTTCAGAGGAAATAAAATAAATCAAAGTAAGTTTAGATATCATCAAGAAAAAGCACATCATTGGTAGTAGTTTTTACAAATGGTTTGACAATATACAATATACTATTACTACAGCTACATGTGATGGATGGAAACCGATGCACTAAAATTATTTTACTAAACTATTACTGCAATCAAATTAAGTTTCCCAGTACTGAAGTACTGTAATTTTAATCACACCACTGGTGATGTGTGACATTGACATGAATGAACAATGAAAACATATTGCAAATAAGACATGAATTGTTCCATGGCGCTTTTAAAATGTGTATTTTGTAACCTCTTCATTGACAATTAAATGTTGTGTTGAACTGTTGCCTTGCAACAGTTACTCCCAGCAGGAGAGAGTGCAACTGTTTATTTATTATACAAATATTTAGTTTAAGAACAGCAATGCAGACTGGGTGCTCTTTAAAGGGCATTTTTATATTTTATGTTTTGTTTTATTAGTATTAATTGTAAGTTTACTTCAGAGAAAAATAATTTTGCTGTTGTGTCTGGCAATTTATGTAATGTTGATGTAATGTAATGTAATAAAAAAACTAAATTTAAATCCTCTACAGAACTTTACTTTAGCAGCAGTTTTAGATTCAACAACATAACTTATTGTTTTGTATGGATACTGAGGTTTTCCCCTGAGGGAAATTTTTAATGGTCCTCATTCTTTGCAGCAATTGTAAAACATGTTTTAAGACCACGATGGGACAGTGAAACTCATACTAATAAAGTTCTTTTAGAGTAAGCGGCTTCTCTAGCTTATCCAACTCATTAAATTAGTGAGAGGAGAAACTCTGGGACACAGCACCCCTTTTAAATGGAGGTATTAATTTATAAAATCATTATTGACCTATTAAATTAAAATTAAAAAGAAATTACATTTTATTAGTTTTTTGCTGCAGTCATGGAGGGACTCTGATCCACCAGACCAACAGTGGGCTGATATGTTAGATAAATTAAACTGTGTTGCTCCCTTGTGTTGTTCTTTGAATCAGTCAAGTAAATAGTGCGGCAGTGAGAGTGGCAAACCAAACTAGTAATATTAGACTAAAGGTGCATTAAGTAGCTGCACTGGAGCTTATCGGGTGATTTTTACCAGCCGACAGTTTGCCCCATTGTCATGTCAGTTTAGATATTAAAATCTTTTCTAAACACCTAAACTTCAATGACTTCTCATTCATGTTAGCTTGAACCTGCGTTAACTGATCTTTTGCCAACCTGCTGTAAACACAACATTTGCAAATGGTTGCTTTTTTACACATTCAGCACATTGTCGAGTCGTGTTTCTGGCCACCTCTCAAATTTAAGTCCACTTATCTTTCAGGGTCTGTTTTTGGTCTTCACCAACTCCTGAAGGAAATGTCTGGTTCTTTAGCTGCTAAATGCTCCACTATGTTCACCAGTTAGTCGCTAACTTTGTCAGTCTGCAGTTTGGTGCCGGGCGGGCAGTGAACCATGGGTTTAAGGAGCGTTTTTGACTGAAAACTGACGAACTGCAGTCTGTTGACAATTCTCTGTGGGTTTGTAACAAGCAGAAACCTCTGTGACTGTGAAGTTAACACTGAAGTGAGTCAGTCTCCATAAAGTCCTATATTAAAATGTCCCAACTTTACAGCAGAAATAAACATGTTTACAGCCTGGTACAAATAGCGCTTTTGGTCTCTATACTTATTTTTTCCTGTTCATGAGATTTGTATGGATGTTTTACATAACTCACCCATTTAAATTACCCTTTTATACCAACATGGTCGAGATGTTGAATGAAGATCAATAACAGAAAGCCACAGAACAGTAACTGAATGGACCTTGTTGTGAGAATTAACTTTGAAACCCAATGCTAGATTATCATTTCTAAACATTCACATAGTTAAGATCAATGCAAATTGATCTGGTTGTTTAGAAAACCATATAAAGATAAAACTTCCTTCATCCCAAAGAAATCTTTTCTTATTGTAGATTTCTTTTACGGAAGAATTAACAGCTCAAAGTGTTTGTAATCTTTATTCTTACACAGTAAGAATTGCTTTGCCAGCCCAGGAAAGTACAGTGCATTTCGTAGGTGCCTTGATGGACTGGTCTGTGTAATTTTCTGGTCTTACCTTGTATTTATCTGGTAAATTCCCACAACTATAAAAGGTTACCAAGACATTTACTGTGCACCTGTCAGCTATTTTTCACCAATGCACACAAAGAGCCATATGTGCCTTATGTGTGAGTTTGAGAACAGAAAGATAAGGAAGAAAAGTAGAAAAACAGGGAAAGAAGACGATCTGTTTTATATTTGCCGTGTTCATCTGCTCTGCCTCCTTCTATTCCTCCATCTCTCCTGGCCTTCCCTTCCTCTTTAGGTCTCATTCGTCTTCATTCTTATCTAACAACAGGCTGCTCCAGGCTCCCATTACAATTATGTAGTCATCTGGGGATTAGACTTTACAAAAAGGTCCTCACATGCACCCATTGTAGCTTCACAGTCAGAAAATAGAAATAGAGAATCTAAATTGGATTTAATGATAGTCATTCCCTACTAAATACTGTAGTGTATGTGGGGGGGGGCTCAGTGTAAAGTAGAGTGTCTAGTATTTATGTTCAGTCACCCACACAAGTCATAGGAAAAGACCCCTGATACTAATGTGCCTCATTCCCAAATAAGTCTAAAAGAAAACGTCCCCAGAAGAAGAGGATTTTTTTTTATTTATTCTGGCACAACTGAGCAGTGCAGGGTAGTTGCCATCAGTGTGTCGAGGCAGTAAATGGACTGAGGTCATACCGGTAATGGGACAGCAAAGTCAAGTGGAGCCACGCTTAGAGATGGCAGGTTTCGAGGAGAAAAAAAAAAAAAACGGAGACGTGAGGGCAAAACAAGACGACGGGAGCAAGAGAGTAAAGAGAGGAGGAGGTCGGACAAGAGGGAAAAGAGAGAAATTACACAAAGGAGATTGTCAGAGAAAGCAGTGGGAGAAAGTCTGAAGGAGAGAGGCTGATTGGGTTAAAGAAAGGGGGGGAAAAAGAGAGGAAAAAGTCTGTGTGCAGTAGTTTCAAGGCTCACTTGTCTTAGAGGTGAACATTTTGTGCCTTTTTCCCTGCACTGCTGCAGTCTGACTGTCAGTGGTAATGTTGGAGCATATAGGCTTGATTTTCTCAGTCAACCATGACCACAGATGGAAAAAAAAGTAAAATCACAAGAATCCATCATCACCGGGCTTCGGACAGAGTGTTGGGAGATCCATTAGGACTGTCTCTGAATAGGTTGTAATTTCAGCCTAATTTACCTCAAAGAAGTTCTCCAGCCATGAAATACTTCCTCATCACCTTCAATTGTTGTCCAGAAACTTCGCACCAATGAGACTCACAGTTGCACTTGAATTACTTTGAATTTGGCATTATAGTTTAATTTACTCAATCACACATAGTATTCATGGCAGCAGTATGGTGACTGCCTTTGACTATCTTTAAAGGAGAACTCTTCTCTCACCAGTTTGCTCATCTACCCAACCTGTTGGGTTTCATAATGTCTTTTGGCGATGGGGGAAGTTTTTCAATTATAAGAAAATAACTAATGATGTCAATAGGGTTGGGCAGGGAGACTAAAAATGTATGAGAGAAAGTCTTATAGACGGGGGACATGGGGTTTTAAAGATGAGGAACATACCACACAGGAAACGTCTTATCTTAAAGCAACATTATGTAAAAATTGGGGCTTTTTGTGAGTTGGAACCTGCTGTTTCAGAGTGCAATTCACTCATAAACTACTGTCATAAACATGGACAGCTGTATATGTGCATCTGTTACGATTACATTACTCGGGATCACAAACTAGCGAGTCGCCAACTTTGCTAAAGCAGCCAAATATCAAGGAAGTGCAACAACACAAGACAAAGCAACCTAGCTAATATAACTGACAAGTCCAACAGAAAGAAGGCCAGCTCACCGTCTGTCTTGCAGCTTTTTATTTTATGAAGCTGTCGGCAATGACACAATTTTACTCGTCCTTGCTCAGTCACTGTCTCTTTTTCTCTTCTAGTTAAATCAGGAAATCAATATAGGACTGTATAGTGGCGAGCTAGACAGCTTTTTCAAGTCAAG